AGCCCAGATGGCCCCATCAGGTGGGCACATACCTCCTGATAGGTGTTATTTGACTTTGTATGCAAAAGGAGTGTGTTAATCTGAATAAGTCTTGTGGACAGGTTCAAGCAATCTCTTTGAAGTAATGCATGTTAACGGCAAAGAAATTATAAGGGCATTTATTAAGGCTTCCCAAGGGCTATTTAAATACTAAGTGCCATGTTAGACTGAGAAGAAGCACCTCAGCAACAGAACTGATGTAACAGGAAAAAGCCCTGGTCTTTCCATTGATCAAAGAGAATACAATGTCTAAAAAACTAAGAATAACCCTTGCATAACAACACAAAAAGTCAGTGACTTTCTCTTATGGATACCACAGATGCTGGCCTTTAAGAAACATCCAGTGTCTTTGATAGATGGTGTGGTTTTTTTACACCAGCACTTACTCTACTTCATTCTCTCTTTCCTTTATATGAGTCCAAGCGGAGAGAAGGAAGATGCAAAAAGATTGCTCTCCTTGCTAGCACTCACACAAGGTCCAAGAATAAATGCAGCTCTCAAGATTATTAATAATTGAGACTGTACAGAGCACAGATAAAATGGCAAAGAGAGCAATACCTGTATCATCAGCTGATTGACAGCTAACTCCGTGTTTGGTAAAAGAGAATTCTCCTGTAGAGCTTTTCTAAATTATAGTCATTGATAACTGTGCCAGAGATTAAAGTATTACAGTCATTCTCAGACGGGTTAGCAGGTAGAGTGCAAAAAAGGTTGTGAAATGTGCACTGTGAGTGCAACTCATCAGCTACATACTGCTATGTGTAGCAGACACATAGTAAATACTGCATCCTTGTAATGTATGAACAAATTTAGGCTTCCCAAATTTACAACCCAACTAGGACTACAAGCCTAAAAATTGAAATTGGGTTGTAACTAGAGATGTTGGATCACAAGCAAACATCTGCAAAAGCAAAAAGACAAAGGCAAAATGTTAAGCTGATTGGAATTTCACAAGATTGACTGTTGCTTAAAGTGCTTGGGTTGATTACATTTTAAAAAATCAAAGTACATAAAAATTTAAACAGGAAACTAATAATATTAACTACATAAGTTATTATACAAATACAATAACAGACCAACAAAAGAGAAATAAATTAAAACAAAGACTGATAAAAGATACTGGCAAAGAACAGGTACACAGCCAAAACTTCTTAAAATTTCTAGTACACATTCAGCTGTAAGATACTGCTCACACTTGTCAGCCACAAGCAGCAAAAAAGAGACAAAACAAGAAGGGTCTGCTGCTGAGAGGCATCAAATCACTGGCAGCTGGAAGCTGCCAGCTCAGGTCCCAAGTACATGATGCTGTAACAGATGGGTGAATGAAATGTAATGTCTGAAGATAAAAGACAGGTTGTGGTAGCACTTTAGGACCCACCATGTAACATGAATTTCAGTTTCAGCTTAGTTAGGTCTTTAATATCTTTATTAAATCTATTGCAAAGGAAACACCTACTGCTTTATTTTCTTTACTCCAGCTGCTAAAGGAACAAGACTTTTAAGATGTAATCTACTGCTCTGAGGTAACTGTAAATTATTAAAATAAAATTGATCGGAGTAATTTTGGGACTGACAATTTCAACAATGTGATCTGCTTCACTGGTATGGTTTCTCCATCACTCCCCTCTTCTGCCTCCCTCTGCTATGTCCCTGAAATAGAAATTACATAAAATCCTGACAGCCTGTTCTGTGAAACATAAAAGTTGAGGTCTGAGCTCATCCTCTAAGGTAACTGATTCATCAGCACTGCAGTGCTTCATTGGGTTCAGTGGAAAAACAGCACAGGACAAAAATGTTCATTTTTTTTAAAGTAAGAACATAGTACTAAGATTGATAAATGGACAACACATCTTAGCAACAGCGTGTGAAACAAATAGAAAACTTCATATGTCATAAGGCCTAATGTGCTCAGAGCCTGACACCATAAAAATAGTAATTTTAGGGAAGCACAGAATACTATTAGACATCTGTGCTACAATTTTGTTTTCTAGCTGCTGGCTGAAAAGCTTTTATTGTCCTAGATATTTTTCCATTCTTTCATAAGGGGCAGGAAATCTATACATAAGCGTAAGAGAAAAAGGATTATGTTTTATTTAATCAACTAAAATACTTCACATCATATGATTGTTTCTGTGAGGATCCCAATCCTGCAAAACCCATGTGAATGTCCTTAATTTGACATAGAAGAGAAGTTCTGCTGCCCGGACTGGTGCTATTCATACAGCCGTGATGGACAGCTTTTGCTGGACTGAAGTCAAGACATTCAGCACACTGTAGACTGGATATAATTTATAGAATTGTGACTGCAATTTATTTTTTTTTAATCAAAAGTAGATGTTCCTTAATCTAGCTGGTGTTAGCATAAAGTGAGTATTCCACAATTTTTCAGAGCTAATATCAGACTGCTGGTGTTGGACTGGTGTGATACCAGTACTGTGATCTTTTCATGGGCTAGCATGAATTTAAAATTTTTTTCATACTTTATGAAAAAGCTTATTCTAGTAATTTTACTCTCAATAACATACTGTATGTTTTACAACCTAAAGCTGTCTTGCAGCTGGAGAAAACCAAAGATTATTATCCTGTTCTTTAGCATTTAAATATTAATTCATATTAGTAACATTTAAAAAATCAATTTTCAGATAAGTCAATTGACATATGGAAAACATTTCCTAAAATTCAACTGATTTAAAAAATATTTTTATGAAAAATTACTTTTCATATAAACATGAGCCCTAAACATTCAAATGATACCTTAAGAATACCTTTTTTGTTGCTTGTTTTAAAATTGAAGAATGACCTAAGAATGTTCAACAGTAAACTGTGAAGTACAGATCTTTGGACTAGCACTGGTTAATGATGATCTAGAAAGTGCCATCATTCACAATGAGGAAACCTTACCCATTTTAAAAAGCAAGTGATTATTATATTTTTATAGGGAAATTCTGAATGCTTATAAATAAATCCATTAAAGAGGGATTTGCAGCTTTAGCTTTCCAGTGGAAAGGCTCCTGGGCCTCTGAGAGTTGAAGTCTCCTGTAAGATGTCTGCCTTCTGTGTTAGAGACAGAACATTTCATTCTAACATCAATAGAAGAACTACAGTTGCATCCCAATTATGCTTGTCTTGAGCCTGCATACCAGCCTTCATTTATATGAGTGATCTCTGCAGACCACTACTCTAAGGTTACATTCTACGTCTGTTTTCCTGTATAGGTATAATAACATGATAAATCACAAATAATGTTAGATGAGAAGTCCACTTCTGTTTCTCATTCAGTGTAAAGTGCTACATTTCATTAGCGTACAAAATGGCCATTGATAAATCCAACTGAACTTCAATTGATGTTACAGTAGAAGCTAGTACTTCATTTTCACCATTGTTTAACAAAAGATATTTCACATTCACAGTAGATAGATTACAATGAAAAAAAGTTATTCTCTTTCCTACAGAAGACTAAAATATAAGATTTAGCTACACTTCAAAAGCCATTTCTTGAAATGGAGTGTCGGCCATAAAGTGGCAGGCAGAATTCTTAAAGAAAAGAAGGACCAAAAGCAACATTGTCTAATAAATACTTAATGAGAGTGAATTAAATATAACAATTAGAAATAAATTTTGTGAGATGAGAATATTTCCTTCTAAATACTAGAACCAACTGTCAATCCCCCTGAAGACAAGAGTGGTTTTGCTGTTGACTTCATTGGAATAGGAATTTGGCTACTGAAGTTCAAAAATTGTGTAATGGAGTGAAAGTGTCAAACCAGTCAAGGTGGTTACCCAGTGTTACCACTGCCACAACCTGTTATCGATCCCTTCGCATACCCTATTGATACTTTCTTCTACATTCATTCTTTGCCAAATTCCAGCATGTGAGTTCAGCAATTTTATTAGCCAGTGCATGACTAGTGCCAGCCAAATTTACCCAGTAAAAATCACAAACTAAGCCTTTTGCACTAAGCCTTTTGATACTTTTAAAATCAGACACTCCAGAGCCATATCTGTTTCCGTGGTGACCCAAATGCTGTCAAACATGGCCAAAATGTTAGAGATTATATATACATGGCAGTATGTGTAAACTTATGGTTGTTATTTATTACATTATGTTGCTAAGAAATGGACTCTGTCTTGAAAAATGAAAATGGGACCTACAGATATTCAGAAAATTGCAGGATCAAGCCATGTCTTCTGTATTGTATGAACAACACTTAATTAAATGGACTGTGTAATTTCAGTCTTGACAGATATGCTAGATGTGGGCAGTGTTGCAATCTCTGCAACTCAATTAAGTAAACAACCTATGATATTGTTTTAACAGAAAGATAAGCTCAATCTCTATAAATGTAATTTATCTTTGTGTCATACATGTCATCTCACTCCCTTTATTCCAGTGCTCTGTGAGTTCTGAAATCTCACCTCATCTGTACTATCTCATGATAAACAAAATGACTGGACATACAGAATTACTTAGTTCCACTGTAATTTAAATCCCGCTATGTGAAGTTTAGGCCTGAGGTTATCCACTGAAAGTTTTTAACAGCCCAAAGCTTAAATGATTTTGGAAGAATATCTTTTTTGCAGCAGAGAGTAACATGTAAAAAAATCCCCTATACAATCACAATTCCAATCATAATGAAACAGATTTTTTTCCTTACACTTTAAATGGGTAGGTATATATCAGGATGTATTTAAAGGAATGCTTTGTAAATCAACACACCCCAAAGCCATTTAGAAAGTTTTAAACAATTTTGCCCTAAATGCAATGAACACTTCCATATAAAATACTACTCTAGCTGTATTGGGTTTAACAGTTGACATCCAAATCTTATTATCTGTAAATGTTAGTCCATATAAATTCCACTAAAATCTGACTGCAATTAACTCTTCAATCAGACTTAAAAACTACAAACAACTGCCCCTTCCCAAAACAAAGTTCCGCATGTCAAAAATGGACAGTTATAGTCAATATCACACAGACCATTTAATAGGAGACAGAGCGTATCGTTGTTCAACCATACAAGATGTGGTCTGTGTAAAAGTCAGTTAAGGGGGGCCATCACCTTCTTTTGCGTGCAGCATCATTGTGCGCAACTGCCACAGTTTGCCAAGTCACTCACTCTCTTGACTGATAGAATAAAATATAGCCAGACTCTGAATTTTTTGATATATCAGAGGTCAGACCATAGAATTCTTCAATAGCTTGAGCATCTATTTTCTGCAAAATAAATAAAAATTTTTAATGTGCTGTTAGTTAAAAGAAATACCAAACATGGATTAAATGGCTGCATAAACACAAAAGACAAATTCAGTTATTTGTTTCAGAGTAGCAATTAGCAAATTCTGTTTGCAGTTTAAGCAGTGAAAGGGTAATGTTCAGGGGCTAAGCCCTACTGGTCTCACTCATGGAAGTCAATAAGAATGTTTGTTTCAGTGAACCTAACTGAATTAGGCTTTTTCCAATAACAGAGAGACTACTTGGAATGCAGTAGTGAACACTGTTAAAACATATAAATGTGACCATGTCACCCTATCTTTCTGAAATTTCCAGAAACCCTCTTCAAGTCATGCCCCATCCAATGTCCCAGTGCTTACTTTCCTCTGTTGCATTTACTCCCGGGAAATCAGACTCAAGACCTCAGTTTTGCCAAGGTGCCACAATGACATAAAGGGTTTGCTTAGGAATGAATTGCAGAATGCTTGAACAGAATCTGTAATAGCTGTGGGCCAGATCCTGCTCTAATTCACATTCAGACAAACCCAGATAGACTACAGAATCCAGACTTTCTTGTAACTTCCCAATTGTCAAAAATTAAAATTCTACAGCAAGGCCAGCTTTACCCAGACCAATTTTGCCAAGTGATTGTGCAAAGGATTGCAACATAATTCCTGGATATTTTAGGTTTTAATGAATTAAATTGATTTTATTAGATATAGAAAACATTCCAAATTAAACCCTTGAAGTTGGATATTAAAAACGTTTGATGTTGTTCAGAAATAAAACAACCCCCTCTGACACTGACAGAGTAAGAACTACAGGATTAATAATTTTGTTTGCAATCTTACTTCCTAACTGAATGTCTCATTACAACCAAACTGTGGCTTTGCAGACTAGAAATCTATACTGAGACCTGGATCAGAATTTTAACCCCAAATAGAGAAGAGAACATAAACACAAAAGTTGTGCCCATGACCTTCAGCATACTGACCTCTACAATGTCATCATCAAACAAGAGCCAAAATCCATGACTTTTCACAATAGTAATATAATGCCCCCGATTCGGTCCACTAGAAAGCAAAACAAAAAAAACCCAAACCACAAAATATTAGAAGATACCATTCAGTCCATTTTGACAAGTGACATTTCTATATGCAAGCAGACTGAATTATAACTAAATGTTATGAAAAACATAGTAAACCCACCCGGGTGATGCAGTAGACATTTACTCCTTTCACCTTTTTACTGACTTGTTACAAAGACTTCATCAACTGAAAACTAAATGTGTTGTTTTCATCCGTGCCATGACCATTTACAAATTAACCTATAGAACACTTAACAACTATTAGGCAGGCATCAACTATTGAAAATTTTTTAAAAACATTATGAACTAAATTTAAAGGGGAAAATTGTTTGGTATTGACCATGAATATTTAGTTACACACAGCCTTTAAGAAGAGGGAGAACAAGTCGTGTTCCTAGACCCCCAAGGATTTTTCTTTTTGTTTCATATTTGACAATACCCCATATGTGAGAAGCTTTATTATAGCTACCATTTTTATTGCCTTGACAGGAGACTGAGGTGATCTGTTGAAGGGCCTACATGCTAGCAGTGTCTGGCCCTCACAGAGTCCTGGCTCCCAAGCTCTCTAAGTGGGCTGATGAGGAAGGAGACACCTCCATTAATTTAAGCCAATCTTGTGACTTTTGGAGGCCTGAGACATTATTTTTTAAACAAGTACAGATTTACTATGAGGGAGGGTGGCTAAGAGGTTCAGGCTAAGACACAGGCTAGTTGGTGCAGCAGCAGGGTTTATGTCCTCCCTTCCACTCTCCTCACATTTTGTCAGGCATGCCTCTGCCTTTGTCTGGCAAAATGTCTGGCAACAGCTCGAGATATACATGAAAGTATCTTACCTTCCACAGTGAACAACGACAGCTACCAAGTCATACATCCGATCTAAGTTGACAGCATCGCCAGATGTGTTGAAGAGACGTAACTCCAGAGGAAATACTACACGATAAGACAGCTTAGTATACCTGTGCAATTGCTCCATATACTTGAATCTCTTGAGGTGTAAGGCAAGAATCATTGGCAGTTTTTTTACTCTCATCCTGTGAAACCAGTAGAGTGCATATGATAAAGTTCAAAGCCATTCTGTCTTTCCTTAATGAGTAAACATTTGCATTATAAAAGCACTTTGTAATTAACAATAGTCAACTAGCAGTAGCTTCTAGATACACAAGTAATAGCTTTGAATCTCTGTAGGTTCTCTGGCCCATACAGAGAATGCAGCTGGGGTGTAAGGCTTCTAGATATCTAAACAAAATAAATTCCAAGGAGGAGGTTTGTCAAAGCCCAGGAGGGGCATGGTGAAATAGCTTGCTATTCGCTTACCTTTTCTGTGCCTCTTGTTTACTGCAGCAAGTCTCACAGTAGTATTTCTGTTCACTACATAATGTCTCTGTGTTACTGAAGTCTCTGTAAATAAATACAATTATCAGTTCTTAAAGGATCTTAACACTTTTTCCCTACTCGGGCTGATGAACTGGAACCCTAAAAAGACACACAGGATGAAATCCTCTCTCCACTGAGTCCAGTTTTCTAAAACATCTAAAGCAGCTGTACCAGGGTTTGCAAAGGGACTTAAAAGTACCTGGCTGGTATGAAAGCCCTGTATTAGGAGCCGAGGCCCTCCACACGATACAGGTAGAGCATCAGATATCTCAAAATGGGATTTATATCCTGGTCTCTTACATGCCAAGGGGCTGCCTAGACTTGGGTGTAGTTGCTCAATCCATCCAGTCCCTTTTAAAATTATTTGCAGAATGGAACATCTTCAAATGCACTTCTGTCATCCCCAGATAGCTCACATTTTATGGTGTTATTCTGTAAGATAGGTTTGAATCCTCTTACACAGAAGAAATAAATTGAAATTCCCTCTAACCTTTTGAACTGTCATCCAGAAGTTATTTGATTATACCTTCTTGTTGTCTAAAAAGGAAAGTGTCAGCTAGTATAGAAGATTTTGTAAATCCTGATCAAGTAAATATACTTGGAAATGTTTCTGGATTGAGCTTTTGAAGTGAGAGAGGCAGAAGGCAGCTGGTTTGATAGTATCTCTCAGTTCACAGAAAAGATTTGTTGGAAGTCACAGTGCTGATACGTTTTGGAGCAGAATTTTAGATACATAAAAAAACTTAACTGTATAAAAAATGACAGTAATTTTTTGTCACCTGTAGTGTTACATTGCAGATGAGCAGGTGTTTTGAGAACTGTAAATGCAGACAATAAGCATCTATCTTCCACTTTAAGCACACAGGTTTTCTTGTGACTTTGGGCCTTAAATAGATATATCTGAAGTACAGAACTGTCCTGTTGATTGCACCTACATTGTACCTAATAGACTTCTGAACTCCAGAAAAATTTAGACCCATTCAGACCGAATAAACTCCATTCTACCATTGCAGTTCACATGTCGGAGGCCGAAGCCGCACTGCCTGCAAGTTCAGGCTGTTCTCACAGTAGGCAGCACCAGAATTATCTTACAAAGGCAAAGGGAGGATTCCAGATGATTATTTCTTCCTGGCACCAACACCACAGGCATAGATAGATGGGAGAGCTGAAGACTATATAGATTGCCAGGGCATAGGTATTAGAAGTTATTTACCTACCTCATAAAAGGGGAGGACTTTCCATTTTCAAGTTTTAAGTTCTTTAAGGTTGACAGAGCATGACAGAGAGACACTTCATATGACTGAATAACATTTATACTAACTGAGAATGCTTTTACTAAGTTTTTTTTCTTTACATGGTTTTAAATAATTTGATCAGAAAGTGCTGAAATTTAGGACAAAATACATCTCTTGAAAGGTAAGTTGCAACAAAACTTTGATCATAAGTGTAATTTTTTTATCTAAAAGAAAAATAAAGCATGATCACTGGAAATGATTTGCTTCAGTGATAAACACCGATCTCGAATATCTGATTTCATGTTTAATTTTAAAGACAAAATTAACTGAATTCAGCCAATTCCTCTGAAAAACGTGGTAACCTTTCAGGGAATCATAAGTGAAGAGATGAAATTTTAGAAAAGATAAGAGTTGGGTTATATGTGTGGGGAACAATGCCACAAGATTCAGTAGAATGTGCTTGTCTAAGTTTTAGATCTTCTGTTAAGGAAAGAGTCTAATCTTTATTTTCAGAGCCTAAAGTCTCAATTTAACAATAAACAAACAAACTTGTGGAATTTATTACTTTCCTTCCCACCTCAAAGTGAAGCAATGGAAATAGTATTTTTCTAACATAAAGCAACATGTACAGAAGATAGAAATTTGATAGATACCGGTTTGTTCTATGCCAAGCCTCCCAGGAAAATGAATTAAACTCAAATAGTTTCTGAATTCCTTTTAAAATGTATTAATTATTCTGGAACCAATAATATCTAACATTTTAAATTATAAGTTGACTGCTATGGGAATTACAGCTGTGAAAGCAGGAGAAATATGCAAATACCTGATAAGCTGATGGACATTCCTTTACATGTCCCTTAGCATTTGTTCTTTTATTCCTTTGTCTTCTACTTCCACCCGACAGGCTGTTACCCTATTCTACCAAAGCAGGTGAGGCACAGTCATGAAATTTAGAGGCACTACTAACTCACTTATTCAGCACATATTCATTCCTTTTTCTGTACCAGGAACAAAACTGGTGGCATATTTATAAGCAATAACTCTTTCCTTGGGGGGAAGGAGGTATGCAGGTGAGAATTAGATGCTTTTGCTGCTCTTTACAGCTGCAACTTCAGTAGCTGTTTCATCAATTGAGAATTTTCAGCATGGCACTTCTAATATATGTTGAACAGTTAAAAACAACAGATGGTTGACTGGAGTTCATGCAAAGTCTGCATGTACAAGAGCTATAGGCTTGAGGAACTTTCCTCTATACCTGCAGAGCTAGTTTCAAGGCATTTCTAACTCTTTCCTATTCCATTAACAGGCCAATCTGCATTCTGTTTATATGGTATTTTAACAGGAGAAAGGAATTTTTAAATAAACCCACTCAAGATATACCAATTTATCATTGACCTCATGTGCTTCCACACTCCATCTCTCTACAGCCTCTATGCTACAGTGTGGAAGATGCTTTCTATTGTTTATATGTATAAATAAGACAAATTTTCTGTTTTAAGAGATGAGACAATTCTCAGTGGAATAAAAAAGCACAGGCAGACTAGTTAAAAGGCAGGATCAAATGGACTGGTAAACTTTGCAGCTCCTAGTGGAAATAAAAATAATGGAGATGTACTATATTTGTTATTAGACTTCTACTGCTTCAGGCCTGATTGTCTACCTTGTGGAGTTAGACTATGCCAAAGGCTTGTATTCTTTGGACCTCTTAATTACACAAGAACCTTTTCAATCTGAAAGCTACAGAAATAGCTAAAAAGAACATTCATCTGCAGTGGCAAAGAAATTCATTCTACTTAAATGTTATCTTGCACAGTTTTTCTTTAATTTATCTTTTCAATGCAGTAGCACTTAAAGTTGTAAAGACACAGCAAAGCAGTTTTTAAAAAAAAGGAAACAGTAAAGGTTCCAGAAAGAGTAATAACTTGGCCGTTCCTATTAACAGAAACCACAAAAGCACTTACACTTCATTTAATGCATAATACCATAGAGCAATGAGAGGAAATCCATATTCTAACTGAATATATGTTTTCTAAACAGAGGTAGACATGCTGCTAGTGTGAAAGACAATCAGAACAGATGATAGGTGATGACTCTCTTCCTGTTTAATCTGCAAATAGCAACCTACACCTCCCAACCCAAGAAAAGAAAAAATGGGATTTTGCTTCCCTTTCTTGCCAAAAGGAACTATGAGTGGACTTCAAAAGGCACGTCATGCTGTTGGAGTAAAGGCAGATACTATACTGGGATATATAAACAAACTTTTAGGGCATCCATTCTTCTCAGGATTGTGTAGATCTCTGCTGGAATGTTGTGCCTAATTTTAGGCAACTGCACTTCAAGAAAGAAAGAAGTTTAACTGGAGAGAGGGTCGAAGAGTAATGAACATGAGCAGAGATCTAGTGGTGAAGATAGCCTGTGAAGGAAATGTTGAATGATCTTAGGCTGTTTAACTTAAAAATACAGTGATGACATTCTTCCTGTGTGTAAAAGGTTGCTGCTAAGACGAAGGGGAGCAACCCCTGGTTTATGTCCAGAGTACACAGGGCAAGCAGTAGCGGACTTGAACTGAAACAAGGACGGTTCATGTTACACAATGGGAAAAACTTTTTAGTAGTAAGAACGGGAAGGACTGGGATAGGCAATCGAGCTACTACTGCTAAAAGATCTTTTGGAACAGGTTGGACAAGCATCCTCTCTGAGGTGGAGCTAGCAGTTAGCCTCTTGGGGTCTCTTCCAACTCCACCACTCACCTGTTGATTGCAGTAGTGCAGATGCAGTTATTCCACATCGTAAGCTACAGCCGCTGGCTGTTCAGTAGTAGAAATACTATTGGTACTGCTACTGAAGTACTCTGTGCCTTTGCATAAAACAGCCTTTCCAAACAAAACATTTCCAGAAAGATTAACAACTAAGAAATTAAATAAAAAATTGGAGAAAGCTGAAGGACAGGTGGTAAGTTAATGTACAGCAGCAGTTTCTAGCAAGTTCACCAGACTAAGCTGGAAGAAAAAGTCAGTGCTCAGTCTCCAGTAACTGTATATCATAGAATCAAATAACAACTCAGGTTAGAAAGGACCTCGGAAGATGCACACTTCAGCCTCCTTGCATGTCAGTGGGATTTCAAATTGACTTTGAACACCGTAAGGAAAGGTAGGTAATGCTGACAAAAACGAGTTCAAAGTAGTGGCTACAGTGAAGAACATAAAGTGTGCAAACAAAAACCTGGAGTACCAATACTGATTCAATTATTCGTGACCATGGAAAGACAAAGAGAAAATAGGGGAAAAAAAGATAATAATGCACTCCTTTTCAAAGTCACTCTTCAGGTTGCTCACTTTTAAAATGAGGCTAGTTACTGCAGTGTGGACTACTTGAGGGCTAAGGACTGCTACAGTATCCTACAGGAGACTGAACAGAAGTTGAGAAGGAAAAAACTTACTCCATCTAGCACTTCAAAATGTAACACAAGTTACCTATTACAGTTGTGGTATCCACAGAGAAATCACTGCTTTCTGACTCAGGAAATGGTTAGTACCTCATATGCTTTCTCTTTCTCTAACTCTCAGCTTGGGGGTGAGATGCCAGACAACCCTTCCTAGGCATTCCAGAATAACTGTTAAATGCGATTTCAAACTTGGCAGCAATTTTGGAGCTTGAAAGAGTAATTTGACCAACTGATAATCATGACTTTAGAGCAGCAACATATTGTCTTAAATCTAGGTATCGGGTTATTGTTTCAATTCCAAAACTCCAGATATTTTAAATCTCTCAGAATAATCATCCATGCAAGTCTGAAAATTATTTTGATCTCTGAAGTATTTGTTTAATAGTTAAAAGTGTACTAGAAGCAGAACTGAAACTTAGAATAAAAGACTTATCCCCATAATTTTAGGATGAGACACAGAATAGGAAACTTACATGCAGAAAAGCAGACTTTTGAAATCTTTTGCCCTCTAGGGACTCTAGTACTCATTCTGCAAAGCACATGCTTAACTTTTAATATGCACATAAGTCCTAATCAACAAAGCACTTAAGTAGAAGCTTGAAGATAAGCACACTTAAATCCATTTGAAGCCAGTTACTATTCTGCAGCAATTCTTCCAGATGACAAGGCAATCAATTATTTTCCCCGAGAGATGATTTTTTTTCCCATTCAAACACATACATTGAAAGACAAAGTGAGTAAAACAAAATACATTAATGTATATTTTGTCATTAGAGGAAGCACCCAGTTTACAGTCTTTTTCTTCTGCTTAGGAAAAGCTCAAAACCCAATGCTATTCTACTTCTCTTCTCTGTATCTACCAGACTTGGAAAATTTAGCAAAGTCAGACAGAACTATCTGCCAAAGAGATGCATTTGTTTACCTTAGACAGTGTGTAATTGATGTGTTCTGCTCCACATCAACAGAAAGGTCAAGAAAATCTTCATCTTTGCTACTAACCTGTTGCAAAAAAATATACATGTGAAACAGAGACTTAGTAACTAACGCCATAATTCTAAATGCTGTTTATATCTATGTGCAAATGCTAAAGATAGAGAAATTTCTGCAGAAATAAATTACACAAAAATAATTAATTTTAATGTTTTAAAATTTTTTTTCTAGTTCAGCGTGACTATATTTATTAGTAACTCTACCAATCCAGCTTTCATATAATTTAACTTCTGTCTGTTCCACTTATCCAAGCCCACCAACCAGTAGACCACAGTCTACTGTTCATTAAAGGGGGGCCATCATCCCCTATATAAGCTGTGACTGGTGCATTACATATGTCCCCTTGTTACACAACACAGCCTAGTTTATTATTTCACTGGAATTTTATTTACTATTTGTATAATATATTACACTAAATAATCACAGTTTGTGCCCTATATTTTTATTTAATTCTACTACTAAAGATGCAATGAAGATATTTTCCAAGTTGTATTTTCTCTCCAGTGAGCATTCAAAAGACTGGCTTTATATTTCTGGCTGACACAGCTGCATTTCCCCATTGAATATTGTTCCTCGTCAATAATTTTGATTAAAAAAATCAAAGATTAAAGGTAAAAATGGCAAAGTGATAATATTTTGCAAAATCATTTTGATTTTGCCAATTTTTTTTAGACAGGAGAAAAATTCTAATAAAGAGTTTTTATTTTAAAAAAGTAACCCCAAATATTTTCAGAATGACAGATCTTGATTATTGCTTTGAAAATGATTTTTCACTTAGTGTTTAATCTTGAAGATGAAATAATGTTAAAAAAAAAAAAAATCATCCAGACAGATAATTGTTGTAATACTTCAACTGAGTCAAAAAGACTGCAGAATTACTTACTGTACATGAATTTAGTCATATTCATAACAACCAATCCTGTTTATAAAATGCTGCATGAACACTCCATATTTTGCCTTCTATGACTGCATTTCCTTAGAATAACTAAATCAGATGATTGGATAGTGAAGTTCAAATCAAGAACTTCAGTAGAGGGGTTGAATCCATTGTTCTGACACAAGTCCCTCATGCTCAGATTTCTGCAATTCTATGGATGTGAAAGTTACATACTACTTTCAGCTCATCTTTGCGTTATGTCAGGGGTCCTATAAACATGGTGAATGCAGCCCCTATCAGTTCTGAATCCAGAGGAACACCTTTAACAGGATGAATTTGGATATTATCAAAGTTGTACAGAGGCATAATGCACACCCAATTAAAATGAACAGCAGTTCTTCAAACAAAAATCCTCCCTGAGACCTGATTTGACCCACAGGGGACAAGAAACCACAAAACTGGCAGCAATCAACTGCAGTATAAACATACAGCTAGAATTCGAAAGACAGAGCAACGAAGCTTCAGAGAACATTGTGTCTCTATGGCTGGAACTAGAGTTCTGTCAGACACATTGCATATCAAGAAAGAGGTTAAATACTTGGAAAAGTTTTTGGCAAGTATAGTGTTTCATCTGAATACCACAAAGAAGCTAGGAATTTTGTTATTGATTTCAGCACATCAAATATTTACTGAAAGGGGAAGATGAGCTAGTTGGGGCTAGAATAACACAGACCAAAACTAAAGGTAGCTGGAAAACCAGATTCAAATTGCATTCTTTGTGAGAATAAGAACTGCTGGAATCTGAATGATTCTTCATGCACTACATATGAATATTTTAGCAAAGGAACATCTTTTAATCCATTTTACAATTTCCCAAAGATTTCGAGATACAATAATACAAGAAAAACAAACTGGAAAAGTATCCTGAGTAGTATACAGTGTTTTTGCATTCACAGGAAGCTACAGACAAGCCTTTCTACAGCAGCAATACCTAGCATGGACTTTTTCCATAAAGCTCGGTCTCATTGAATTACAAATAGGGTGTTGTGCAGTTTTGCTGTTACTCAAGGACACATCCTGACTTCAGTACAGTTTATCTCAGTAAACACTGGATATTAATTTATAATTAGGCCACAACCCTTTGAAGAAGCTTGTCAGATAAAAAATAATTCTAAATTCTACCCTTTCACTTATTTTAACTTGCTATTATTACTTGGGTTTTTATAATTGAAATAGATTAAAGAATTAATTTTCAATATCTCGCTCTGGTTTTCACTTATACAAGCTTGTTCCAAACTTGGTACAACCCCTTTTTTCAGGTTCACTATCACTGTATCTCTTTTTTCCCCTCTGTCTGACCCAAATCCCTGGAGAATTCATATTTTCTTCGAGTATAGAGCTATTCTTCATGATGATCAATATCAGAATATGTTCTTTTACACATCTGGTAGGACCCGGGTAGGGTTTATCTCACCTAACTTCAGCTGTCTAAAGTTAGATATTTAACCTCAGCTTGCTGTCTGAAGATACCTTCTCTGGGCACCTTCTCCAGGCACTTTAATGCAGATAATCTATAAAGTTGCATTTTCTTTAAAGGAAGTCCTTGGTAGCAGTGTTGCTGTGAGATAAAAACACATTATTCTTAGGCCAGATCAGTTTGCTGGCCCAGTTCACAGCATTGCTGCACCAACAATTGCAAAAGCTCAGTAACACTGTAGAGCCAGGACAAGATGTATCGAGCAGAATACCTGATACTGCTGAAAACTTTCAGTTTCATGAAACAGCCTAGAGACAGATGGAGACAGCTTCCTGCAGGAGCTCCTTTGCAATCTCCATCATCTACAGAAGGAGCTGAGAAAACTAGTTCATCCTTGACAGCTACCTTTTACAAAGCAAAGGTTAGGTGACGTTAATTCCAACCTTTTTGGAAAGTCAGGGTCACTGCTCTCCCCAAAACACATTTTTTTCTTGTCTGTGTTACTCTTTCACATAGCAACCTCACAGAGAGAAACTTTTTTATTATTTCTTTTCCCTTAAAGTAGGAGCATGTGATTGAAAACCACAGAAATCAATAGGAGACTTGCAAGCAGGTTTCCTAACTGAGACTAATTTTTACTCATACTTCAAATATGAGACTTCAAACTGACAGCATCCTCTAGAAAATATTAGGGAGATAAAAGAAAACATATGGTTTGTTAATAACAAACCCTCTGTATGCCAGTCACATTCTTAGGATTGAATTAACACAAATTCATCTTAACATTTTACTTATTCATGGAATGATGATGTGAATATCTTCTTCCAAAGTTACAGTAATAAGGAAGGGTATTCATTAACTAGCAAGGATTTTAACTGTAGGGATATGTATTAGGACAGCAAGACTTGGCATAGGTTAGCCAAGTAATGCTTAGAAAAATAAATTTTTAGAAAAGAATATACTCACTTCAAGAAGTAAAGTCTACAGGAATATCCACAATTCTCAGATGTCTGAAAAGATTCATATATTTATATATATAAAATATATCTATCTATTAAAGAGCAACAACCAAAAAACCCCAAAAATCTATCCCAATGCTTACGGTTTCACAGTTCAAACATCTAGTTTCGTTAGTCAGTGTTCCCTGAAAAATCTCATGCACCCAGGTGAGTTCTTGCTTATTGTTCTCTTCAGCTTCATTCATGTTGCCATTTTTCAGTTTCCCATTTTGCTTTTCCTGTTTCTTCTCCTCCTGCAAAATGTCTGCGATGGTGTTGAGCAGGTAATTTAAAAACTCATGTGCATCCTGCTGCATGTAGTTGTCAAAGAGATCTGTGAAGAAGAGAGTTGAGATTTCTAAAGCTGAGTATATCCTTTCCTTCAAGAAAGCAAACTAAATTCATTATTTCTTTCCAAATACATGTACTGGCCCTTGCTCAGCAAAGTTATTTAAAATCATGCCAAAGAAGAGCAGTTTTGCAGTCACACTGGCTTCCATGAAGCATCTTTGGTGGAAGGCTTCATCTCACCTAACTTTAGGTGCCTGAAAGGTTATGCTCTTCTTTGGAGTTGGTTGTGTAGGCTCCCATCACAGTCAATGAAAAAAGCAAGAGGGTGACTCATCCCAAATTAATTCCTTAGACTAGATGTCTAACTTTAGGCACCACTGACTCCCACCCATATATTCCAAGTCCCTCAGACACTTACGAACATCACAGAGTTTGGACAGTAAGACACATGGCTGGGGAAACTGAAGACATTGGATGCTGACACACACTAGTGTACTGTGTCCGGCTGCGATGGAGTTACCTTTCCTCACAGCAGCCCATACAGTGCTGTGCTTTGTACGTGTGGCTAGAACAGTGTTGATAGCGCACCAGTGTTTCGGCTATTGCTGAGCAGCGCTCACATAGCATCAAGGCTGTCTCTCCAGCCCACTCGCCCCCAGCTCCTGCCAAAGGCTGGTAGGCTGGGGGGGGGCAAGAAGTTGGGAGGGAACATAGCTGGAACAACTGACCCAAACTGACCAAAGGGATATTTCATGCCATGTGACTTCATTTCTAGCAATAAAAGCTAAGAGAAAAGGGGGGGGTGGGGGGCGCATTCATTATTACGACATTTGTCTTCAGAAGCAACTCCTACGCATACCAAGGCCCTGCTTCCCAGGGAGTGGGTGGAAATTGCCTGCTGATGAGAGGCAGAGAATAAATCTCCTTTGGTTTTGCTTTGCTTCTGCATGTGGCCTTTGCTTTTTTTTTTTTTTGTTACACCGCCTTTATATCAACGCACAAGTTTTTTTCATCTTATTTTCCCCCGCTGTCCTGCTGAGGAGGGGAGTAAGAGCCAGGCTTGGTGGGCACCTGGCAGCCAGCCAAGGTTAACCCACTACAAATAGTAATAATAACACCATCTAACAAAGCTCATTTTTCACACACAAGTCTGATGAGCAGAGACTTGTCCTCTTCAATGAGAAATGCTTGCAGGAGGAGGGGAGAATATCTCAGTGGTGATTTAGTACAGACTTCTCCAGTGAAGGCTTAATTTGCCCACTGTGTTGAAGAAAAAAGAATCTGTGTTCCCAAGAAATGTGTATTTTTATCCCCCTTCTCCTGAAAAAGCTCACGTGGATTTCCTCAGAAAATATTGTGCAGATCATTCAGCTTTGCAGTGTCTAGCCTGGACACATAAGCAGGTTAACACACACTGAATCTGGCCCTAATTTAAAAAAGCTGAAAACATAAGATCCAGTCCCTAAAAGTGATCCCCAACAGTGTGGGGGCATTTATCACTAAATGACTCAGAGCTAACTTTGCCACACTTTCAAAAGCCTGCTCTGGAATGAACAGTCTGCCTATTTATATGCTGTCACCAGGAAGCAATTTCTTCCAGGTGTTTGATTTGTACTTGGTCTCTTCATTCAAAGCTCCCCTGTTTCTAAGCATACCACCCACATTGATACGAATCCAGGCCAAAATGGAGCTGTGTGGCAGGCTTCCTTATTTCAAGATGTTCCTCATATCCCTTAGACAGAACTACTGCAAGATTAGGCATATGCTGTTGCCAACCTAATGCTCAAAAAGGGCCTGATGCTTCACAAAGACTTCTAAGAAAAAGAGCAGCAGTCGATGTGTAGTCCACTCAACACTCCCACATACATACAGTTACTTATCCTCCAGTGTTTTGGACTAGTGGTGCCTGTAGCACTCCTAGGGCACACAGTTTCTATACAGCCAACTGCCCTCAATGTTTCTCTCTGCCATACTCTCCAAAAAAAAATTTAAAAATTACAGCAGAGTGTCAACCTATTCCCAGCCCTAGCTCACTGTACAGTGCGGTCTGTCCCACCATACTGTGACAACATCATTAATTCATGCACCTCTCGGAAATTATGAAACCTGGTATGGTTATTTCAAGTGTAATATCACGTACACAGATACTGAAATATTAATATCTAAACCCCCAAAAGTACTAAAAGCAATTTACAAATCTAACCTGAACATCTGATTAATATGACCACATTGCCCAATATTTATTTATACTTTCCTGATCAATGTATAAATGTCTAAGAGGATTCCAGTTTTACACTTACCGTTCTCTTTTCGTAACCTTGATATGAACTTCTTTGGTGGAATAACTCCAACTTTCTTCTTCTGAGTAGCAATACTATGGAAAAGATCTGCTAGGCAAGTCAAGAGATTTTCCTTCTTTTTCTGTTGGGCCTTGTATGATAATACATTTTCCCGAAATGGCCGGCAAAAATACAATGCCTGCAGCACGGAGTTACAGTAGCAGGTGTTCCCAAACTGCCATGTAAAATTAAAAACAGTCTTAATCCCTGTGCATCACAATAAAACTAGTTGCTTCATTCAACTTCTGGCTTCTGTGCCCCTGTCACATACCAGCCATTTTGCCATGCAGCTGCTGTAGGAATATATTTCCACACCCACCCCGACACTTCACAGAAAAAAACTATGGTGTTCTAAATTAACTAGCATACAAAGTAAAAGTTTCCACATGCAAGAGATATATTTATTGTAGTGGATCTCCTTAAGCTTGTTTCCATATATTTATATACTCTTGCTGGGCTCTATCCTACTGCTCAGTAGCAGAATGACTAATGTTTTCAACGGAAAGAGTTACTCTATCTGTTTTATTTATATGGGAATAAACAAGTGATTAAACACCCTTCTCACTCATTCTCTCCTTAGTCAGATAAAAAAGCTCCTCCTAAGAGAGTCCCCAATGCAGACTGCTGTACCTAAGCTTGTACATACTTCCATCACTTTTCCCCTCATGTTTCATAGCTAAAATAGACTTTTAACGTTATTGAGCTGCAGGTTCTAATCCCTGGAAACATCCATAGAACAGTAAACTGTTTTCTCTGGGGGTGTATGAAGCTATCTTCAAACAACTGATACAATTTTGCAATCCACTTTGCCTAAAATTGGAACATGAGTGGCACTTTTTCAAAAAAAGGCAATCCTACCTTAGAACAGGATTGGGGGAGGAAAAAAAAAAAAAAGAAACCAAAGCTCAAGTAACTTCAAAGCCATAGTTCTGTTTATGGTTTGCCTACTGAAAATGGTACTTACATTGACCAAGCCAAAGTAGTGTTCATTGATTGGAAACTGCTCTGGGCCAATGTCTTTTTCCAGAGCAGAGGCATTGGTGCCCTATAAAAAAAGAGAGAAGAAATTATTTAGAATATTAAGATTCTAAAAGACGTTATGGACAGCATCAAGACAGAAACTTATTTTTTCCTTTCAGCTACAATTAACCAAGCTAACTCTGCCTTACTGATGGGCCAGTATGAGTCATACGAGCCAATAAAAATATTTGTGGTTCTAGGTAGTGGAGCTGGCCTGACCTAGACACTGTAGTAATGGCTGAATAGAAGTGAACAGGCCACAACAACAGTGGTTCTCCCCACACCCACCTCCTCCTTGTTTTTACTGTGTACGTGAACAGCTGGGTCCCATTACCCTCTTCCCTCATAAAGATACTTTTTGATCTTAAGCAAAACCCTTAAAGTTATCTTGGATAAACCAGTTCCTAGATGTATGGTAGGTTTTCTAAGCATTACTGAAACTCCTCTGAATTCCTTCTAATTCATCAACAGCCTTTAACAATACTTGGGGTCCAGGCTGGCACCCAGTTCTAGTAACAACATCACAAATGTTAAAAGCAAGTGTAATATATCTGCTATTTTGTCTTATCTAACATCAAAGGGTGCATAAGCCCAAGCACTGTTACATCTCTTAGTCACTGCCTCAGTGTGGCAAGTTATGTTCAGCCGTATCTTCACTCCAACAGCAAAGTTGCTTCCACAACTATTGGTTGGTGAAGTACAACCACTAATTTTATATGTTACCTGTAGTTTTGATATATTAAAATGCCCATTTTTGAACAAGCTTAGATTACCATGCAAGCAAGCAAGCTAGATTGCTGGCAAAGTAAATGTAATCACTCCTATTCACTCTATAAGCATATAGATCCCTGTAGGACCTCACAAAATGGGTGTATTTGGACAAGTACTCCCTACATACATTTATTCAAGACCTATCAGTTAGCCAATTTTTAATCTGTATGATAAGTGCTTAACCGACATCATACATTTATTTCCTTACTGAGCATGCTCTGCAGTGTGAAGCAGTAATATATTATGCCTTAGAATTTCCATCACACAAGAACAGAACAGTTGGTTGACTTTCATAAAACCATGTAAAATGCCCCTGCAAACATGCCAACATGTAAAACATCTGAAAATTGCTGAAATTTCCTATGTTCCTGAGTTCGTTCGATATATCATTTGTTCAGAGACGTCATCAGCTAAAATTTTCAAAGTTACTGGTAATCAGATTCAGTAATTCTGGTGTCCCTCCCCCATCCTCTCCCCAAAGCCTGATTTGTGTTTTCTTACTGCACCTGCCATCACCACTACTTGCTATACTAGATTATTATTTCATGTTAACTCATCAAAAAAAGATTATTTTAGTCAACAGAATCAGTGGTGTGAAACTCAGCACAGGTGCTCTTTGAGAATTTGCAAGCCTTGAAAGTAAAACAGCTCCTTCAAGTTGGCAGCTTCCAGAAAAGCTCCAAAGATTTTGTATTTCACATCCCCTTATCAGACCTCTTTCCAGTCTCTCCCTTTCTCACATATACACATAGCTCATTGCTCAGACCAAGTGTATGTGATTTCCCAGGCATTCCCTTTGAGACTGAAGTACTTTACCTGCACAAGGCTCCATGCAAAGCTTAAGGGGTATGTTATATGTCCTCACCAGGCTCTGCCAAGCCTCAGCGAGAAACTTGGAAACAGGAAGGATCTATACAAAGTGATTATTGGCTACCTTTCAACAGAGATGACAATGTGATAATTATGTATGTTCCATATGAAGATTAGTTTCTTTGCTTGGAAAGTCAGCCTTGCCAAAGAAGCACAGATTCAGCAAAAGCATCGGACTTCCTGAGAGAGAGGAAACTGATAGACTTTTGCTTATCTGATATTAACAGTGAAGCAAACAGCCACTGTTACCCTCAAAACCTTGTCTGATAAAAGAAAAACATGACTACAAAAGATTAATGCAGCTTCTGAAGAAACCATCTTCATATTAATACTCATTCTACAGCATTCAGATCAAAGCAAAGGTTTTCTTTGATTACACTTTTAGTGTTCAAATCAAGTTCCCTAACATAAGAATGAAATGAGTGGTTTTCCAGTTTTGCAGGAAGTATTTTCCACACTGTAAAAAATTCTCCCTCTAGAATTCATGGAAAATAACATCTCTAAAAAATAACCTCCTACTCTTTCATAAACTACAGGTTAGTGTATGCTGTTAGATAAGTAGAATGCAAGTATTTTGCTAACTGGTTGCTCCTACATTACTCACTTGACTTTCCTCCGGGGCCAGGGTTTCTTACTTCAAAGGATGCCAGATGGTTTTACAAATCCTTTTGAGCATTTAAATTGTCTTGTAAATATTGTGAGAAAGAGCAAGAATCAGGATTTACCAAACAAAATTATCACTGAAAACCAAACAAATCCATTATGTGCCCTAACTGATCTTCATATAAAAACTATATATTGCATGGAAATTTCCAAAAGTACATGGTGTTGAAACAACATATGCTTAGTAACAGCTCATAGTAGAGCTCTACCTCTCCAAAACCAGGCCTTGGCTGTTGCAAATAGAAAATGAAGCACTGTGTGCCTGTTTCCCAATAAAACAGAGAGGCTAAATTAAATCTTTGGGTAAGCTGACATAACTCCCATGGACTTCATTAGGAATTGTGCCTTCTTATATCAAGGGCAATTTCAGTCTGGTTTATTTTAAGGTCTCCAAAAATATACTGTTAAATTCATAGAAAAAGAAGAGTAGGAAAACAGGTAAGAAATACAGACACCTAATACTTCAAAGCAGGATATATTTCTTACATGAAGAAAAAAATGTAGACAGACTACTTAGTAAACTCAAACCATGCCACAATGCATACATATTACATGTTTTGCATAGGAAGTCTCCTCAAGAAGCAATTGACATGATGGCAGAAGAAGAAATTGGAAATTTTTGCAACCAAAGTATACCAGAAACTGTACATGCAAGCCAGGTTTAAACTGGAAAAAATGTTATTAGAGATGTGTTAAAGATGATTCAGAACTCAATTTAAACCAGCTGTATCAAATATAGAAAACATGTTAGCCTATTGAGGTTTATCTACAGCAAAAATCAACCATGATTATTTAACATTGTTTTAAGCATGGTTGTGCTTGTTCCCACTCCCAGCAAGTCATTTTGGTCACTTCTGCAGTGAAAACCTGCTCAAACATTTTTAATGCAATCCATTCTCTATGGTTTCATAAACAGTCCTGTACTTCAGCTAGGAGAAATATCCTACTGCAGCTGAATCTACTGGAGTTTCATAAAAAGAAGCAAGAGTGGCAGTGCGGCCACAGAGCCTGAAATGAGGAGAGACCACATAGGTTAATGAACTGGGATCTGAGACTATTAAATAAATTCATATTAGGGTATAGAGAAAATAAAGGAGACTCGCTCCTTCTTAAAAGAATACACTAATGAAGGAAATGCAACAAAGTGACTGTGGTAGCCAGACCTTATGAGAATGAGAACTAGGTCAATGTGGAAACTCCTTCTATATATTCTGTGGTGTTGGTGAACCTTGATTCCTCTGAAGTTTTACCACTTAATTCAACAATCAGTATTCAGCCCTTATAAAATGGCAAAGACATACAGTTGGAGACATAGCCAAGCATGGGACAGTTCAGGCTAAGCCAAGATTTCTACCACAGCATCACTCCAAAAACATTCTGGCCATATGACCTATATTTTATCCTCTTGTTATTTTGCTCTAGGCCTTCCAACGGATAAGTCTGCCAGTTATCTTTTCAGCTGAAATTTCTGATAATGTTGCTAAGAGTTTAATATGTGCTTTGCATCAAGTGAAACTGTTCCTTTGCACTTTAGCATGTAAACAAAATAACGGGGGGGGGGGGGGGAAGACATCAGATTAGATCATTAAATCACATGTCGCAAAATAACCTAACTACAGTTATTCTATGGTGGATGAGAAATGGAACAGAGCTAATATGAGAGATTCGGCAAACAGAAGACAGCAAATCAGACTCAACCTTCTAGTATGACAGAGCTTTAAAAATTGGCACCAACTTTCTAGAAATATGCATGTGCTTAATTTAAAGTAAATGAGTGCAGTAAAGAAATTAGGACATTTCATGTCACCTATGGAAAACCTATTAAATAGGTTATTAAATTTGGTTATTGCCAAATAAACAGAAACACAATAAAAATAACCATCAAACAATAAAATACAATGTAAGAAATAACAAGAAATATCTTAGTCACAAGAAAATCTAAAAAATACAAGAAAAAACACATAAAAGTTGAATTGTGGAAACAAAAATTTAACAAATATATAAAGAACAAGAAATGCACGCAGGAAGATGGCTGGTCCATGACAAAGGGCTTCAGATCATATACAGCTGTGAACTAGATTTCTTTTTCTTAGTATTCAGGGAAAGTGAGAGAAATGTGCTAGAAATAGAGTTGTTTCCTGAAGGGAGAAACTGAAGACTTAAGACAAACTAAGGGTGACGTTTGGGCTGGTAGAAGAGAAATTAGAATAAAAATAGAAATGGCTTGAGGGCCAGGCAGCCTGAGTTCCAGGATTTTGGACCGCACAGCACATGGGAGGGAAGGGAAAAAGAAGATAAAGAAAGATGTGGAAGGCCTCCTGGCCAACAAATGGTAGTGATGCATAACTCAAAAGAGAGGAAGCAACTAAATAAAATCCAAACATAGCTCCCAGAAGCAACACAAAGAAAACGAGAGTAAGAGAAGAGCAAGCAATGTCACACCATGCAGTATATATCCAACTGCTTTCAACAGACACATCACCTGTCCTCAGTGTTGGACTTTGACTATCCTCAGGGACAACCTCGACTTTCAGAGAGGTATGGTGAGTAACTGGAATAGCTGAGCCAGCCTTCTTCCAAACTCACAGATATTAAATGTCAAACCGGAAAGGTTTCTGTAGTTTTTAAAGTGTAAGTAAGTCCCACAAGATGGTTGAATTTAACCAGATTAGCTTTTTTTTCTTTCTGCAAAGAAATGTTTTATTGTTCCTCCAGCAGAGC